CGTTGGTGTTCTGTGGGGGTACAGGGAGTGCTGGGCCCAGTATGAGATCTCCAAGCAGCACAATTAAGTGACCTTTCTGCAAGGTTCAACCCTCTGGGCGGGAGGGAAGGAAATCTTTTCAGACATTATCTCAGAGCTTCTTGAGATCTTCCCCATTTACTTGTACCTCAGTCCCACCAGGCTCACACGTGGGTCACAACTTTGTGTAACTGCTTTCCAGACAAAACAAAAAGCAAAGTGATCCCAGCACATTTTGGTATGGATTGAACAAAACAATGTCATACAATTGCAGGACAGAGCACAAGCACAGCCTCCACCACACAGGAGCTCTTTTAATAGCAATCAGAAAAATCCCTTCCCTTGAGTACGGGATGTTCATGCACCTGGGTCCCAGACACAGAGCACAGCCTCATTCCTTTCAGCACTTGAGCCCTGACCTTGACCAATCATTTAGCAGAAGGTGTGCATGCTGTTCAGACCTTCCCCTCTGCTCACAGGGATATGACATGAGACAGTCCAAACTTACACAGGAGACAGACAACTGTGAAAGACAGCCATCTTTTCTATGGCTTTTCTATGGAAAAGTCTGCCAGTCTCTCCTTCACCTGCCACAACTCACTTCAAACATCCTTTCAAGACCTTAGAAGGTTTTTTTTTTAAATATTCTCTCACTGCAGACCCCTACAAGCTTCTCACAAGAGGTACAAACCTGCACATAACCTCAGTCTACCGAAGGCAGGCTTACTGTGGGCCCTGAGGTAGTCCATGGATCTCCATAAGAGCACAGATGGACAGTTTCTCTGCTTAAAGCACATAATAAGAACGCTTACAAGGTAGAGAAGCAGAAACTAAGTAGCATTACTCAAGAGAACAAGAAAAACTATTTGTCCTTACCTGGGGAAGAGGTCTTCTCCATCCAAGGAAACAGCCTTTACCTTTGCTCCAATGAAAGAGATCTTTCATTGATCATTTCATCCTGCAGCTTCCAGAGATCTCAGGAACGCTATCTTGTAGAGCTCTTCCCTCATTTTGCAGTGATCACCCAACCCACGTAACATAAGGCAGAAACCTCTTTCAGCTCCCTGCGTAGCTTAGCGTAGCAGACCAAAGAGCAGATGTGAGTACTACCCAAAACCTCCACCAAAATTAAAAAGCCATTCACACAAAGCCATCAGTAACCTCCTATGCTCTGCCAAGATCTATGGCTAGGCACAGAAGCTCCCTCCTAATAGCTTTGCTAATTCCCTTTTGGAAGGGTTGTAACAGTTATCAGTGATACAGCACTTAGCACCTGATGAGGAGCAGCTGGGAAGGGGGAGGATGGCCTGGGGATGCTGACAGGTGGCCACAGAAACATGCTTCTCAATACAGAGCCTACCAGTGGCAGATTCCTGCACAGGTCTGGGAAAAGGAGGGTTTAATCATCCTGAAATTCTGCCAGTGCAGCAGGTAAGACCTCTTCTGCATCGTCACTTTATCATATTGGCTACAGGCAGTTGCATCAACCTCTAGGAGCACCACAGGCTACTGTCCCATTTCCTCTGTCATCTGCCTTCTCTCAACCCTGAAAGACATACAAATCCATAGTTAAATCCACCCACTGCTGTGATTCCAGAGGTGCATGCATCATTCTAGTGCATGAAAACTACCACACTAATGGTACCCAGCAGCAAGTCCTCCATCCCACCTGTTGGTCATCTGAAAATAGCTCTAAGTGATTCTCTGTCATGCTAGAAGAGTTCGTCAGCTTGTCTCACACCTGGCTCTGGCAGTACTGGTGTATCCAAAAGACATCTCACAACATTCACCAATCACAAAAACAGCCACGGGGCTGAACACTGAATCTGGCCATGGGACAGATATCTGCTTGCAGCTCCAAGGAGCTAATTTGAATCAGACCAAGCCCCACAGACTCAGTAATTAACAAAGAACGTACCTGAAGCCAGAATATTAAGGGGTGAGAATGCATTTTAGGTCTACAGAATTAAGCCATTGTAATCAGAGAAGAAAAAAAATCTGAAGCAAAATCCTTGCATAGACCTTGACTATTCCCTTAGCAGGACAAACCTGATGACTAGTTGTTGTTTACAACGATAAGGTCAGAGGAAAGGCCATTTCCTCTCAACAATTGTCAGAAAGGATTAAAACCTGCATTCAGGCCCGCTTTGAACTAGCAGGTACTCCATTCCCCGATGGTATCAGACTCCATTCAGCGAGGTCTCAAGCAGCCTCCGGGGCATGTCTCCATAATGCCCCTATTGTGGAAATATGCAGGACTGCTTCCTGCATTCACTCTATCTTTATGAAGCTTCACCCTTGTGGTCTGATATCCAGGTCAGGAAGCAATCCTGCAATCACTGTTTAATTAGTCATTTCCCAAGTCTGCCTTAGCTGAGAGCTGCTGTTGCTTGTCAGCTTCTAAGAGGGAGTTTGGGAAACAGAAACATCACTACCAGATTGAGAAAGAAAAGTTGCACACAAGGTTTGAGACTTTTTGTGTTGCAGGTTGATGCTCCACATTCTCAATTTCCAACATTTTTTCCTCTGAGTCGAGAGGATGAAGGGGACATTGCACCTCCTGCAAGTCAAGACAAAAGGTGATTTATAACAAAAGCAGGTTTTACTTTTTCAGTTTGTTTTTATTGACTGGGCTTTGGTTGGCTTGAATTTTTTGTTTGTTTGTTTGTTCTCTTAATAAATCCCATTGCTCATACAAAACATACTGGAGGAGAGGACTGTTCCAGGAATTCCAGCTGCATACTTGTCTTTGTGGAAGTCAGCACTGAGCCTGAGAGTTCACATACACGCAGCTCCTAACTTTTCCAAGTGAGTTCACTGGAAGAGGTATTTCCTAATGCACAAACACCAATTTTAAAAGCATGGGAGTTATGTATTAAATTGGAGTATTAAAATATTTGTCTAGATAATGAACGTTTGTGCAAGGAGGAATGCAAAAGGAAAAAATATGGCTGTTGAAATGCAACTGTTTTGGGAAACGATTTTTTCTGTTCAAAAAATAAATGAAGTATTTCCATAATGTCAAAAACCCATTTTGCCATCTCCAGTGTTTGGGGATTGTCAGGAAAAGCTTTTCAAAAAACAAACAAAAAAGCAATTATATAATAAGTTATATAAAGTTGTGTAAGTTTAAAGACACTGAGGACAGAGGAAATGCTCTGATCAAAGTAATGTTTTCAGTTTCATTTTGTAAGAAACTTTTATCCATCCTGGAATAGAAAAGATTTTGAAATCTTAGCATTTCTTAGTAAAATGAGAACTTCTGTCCTTCTCTACTCCCAGTTTCTTTTGATCTAGTGAAATATTTATGAAAGAAGTGTGCAATAATTTACCTGTGACAGCAGGACGATCCTGCTTTTGATAAGTATGTGTGAGGAAGGAAAAAAAAAAGAAAAAGAAAACAGTCCAGAAGAAAAACCTTAACAAACCAGAAATCCCATTGAGAAAATTACATATGTTTCAAGAAATTGTATTGGAATTCACAGAAACCAGTGCCAGTGGGAAGCAGAAGTGGGAGGGAGTTACAACAGGAATTGTGTCCGTCATGTGAGAAGTTCCTGCTTGCTCTCTGGATGCAGAGTTTAACCTGCTGAAATCACATGTTTATGCAGGTCTCTGTACTAAACCAATGCACATTGCTTCCAGCAGCTCCAGGAAAGGCTACATACATATCTGCTAGCAAAGACTGTGCAGCTGTGTCCTCACCAAGGCGATATTACTGCAGCAATAGCTAAATCCAAAGACACAGAGATGAGATAACTTCACAGAAACACCCTTTCACCTCTACTGCTCTTCTGTGTCTCAAGATCAGTGCCACCTGCTCTGAACTTTATCCCCTGATTTTCCCCAAATTTTCCTACCCACAGCAATGTATCTGGGATTAACCTCTGATTAGTCTTCTGTTATCTTTCTTTCAAGCTGAGATTTCTTGCAAAGTGCCAAAATGCCATATGAAAAATTATTTTTGATACCTACACTGATCAAAGAAGGGTGCAGAAGAGAGCTGTGAAGAGAGCTGAAGAACACCTGTGAGGTTGTCCTCTCCTCTTCACCTGGGGGAACAAAAGCTCAGCAGCCAGCATTACCATAGCACCAATAGCAATAAATAAATTGCTCTTGTAAGAAAAGAACAGATGTGATAAAGATTGTTCCAGGGTCTATAGCAGACAACAGCCAAAGTACAAGAGTCTAAATGTGCCGGGCAGGGATGGCAAGGGAAGTCACAACTGGGTTCCATCTAGGGGAAATTATTCTTACACTCAATTCATCAATTTACGGGCAAGCAATTCTACAGGCAGCGCTGACTTGATTAAACAGAGCCATAATGACTGTGAGTGTAGGGAAGCATCCAGCCAAGTATGCAAACTAGCCTTCTCAGCCTAGAATAAAAGCTTCCTAACCAATAATTTCATGCTTTTATCTATCCGATCATTAATACAGATACCAAACAATGCCAGCTCGACGTGGTGTCAAAGGCTCTGACAACCTCTAATTGATAATAAATAATTCAATTTCTATCCCAATCCAAAACTGCTGAATCTTGGGGCATGTTCCAAATAAATGATTAAAAAGAACTTTGAATGTAATTATATCTAAAACAATTGGGGATATTGCCCAGATGAAATTTACAGCAACTATTCAGAGCGACAAAATTTCAATGACACTGGCAACTCTTTATGACTGCTAGAAAATGAAATGTTCTTTACTCAGGCAATGGCATAGGCTGCATTTCTATCTGACAGCTGTATAGCAGCAACTCAGCCAGGCCAGTCGTGCTGCCCACAGAGGTGCAGACTATCCCAAAATCACCCAAGAGAATTTGGGTGCGTGGTTTTACCTGATTTTCTTTGTTCTGTACATGCAGA